GGCCTAAGACTGAATTGCGATGGTCAGCCGACGCACAAGATGCACAACTTAGGGCCTTTTCCTCTCAGACGAGTCTGGCAGGAATAAACCGATCCCAGAGTGATGGCTTGGTTGGTTCAGGTGGGAATCGATCCGGGATTCGCACCCGTGACCATGCCCGTGTGAAGTGCGACACTTGTCGCTACACCACCCCCGCTCACAATGTCCTGAACTCTGAAGTCTCCCGGAACGTGAGTTTTGGTGAGATTCATGGTTGGCTGTATCATTATGCAAAGCAGTGCAGAGACCGTCCTAGATTAATATGCATACTTTTCACTTACTGCTACTTTGCAAATCGCTTGCTATCACTTACTTCCAAACGTAAAAATTCTAGACCGTTCAAATGTTCAACAAGCATCAATTAAGCGACATATCAACTTTGACCCTGGGCAAAAGAGGAGTGACGATAGTTCAGGAGTTAGGATATGACAACATAGGAATCCGCAGCTTCTTCCACGTTCAAGGCTCGAAGGTCCCTAAGAATAGGAGAAAAAAGAAATAAAATATACGACGAGCGCGAGATTACTTCAAGAAAGTGCAACTAAGGTAATGAATCCAACAAGTTTGTAACTGACAACGAGAACAGTGCTGCTTAGGAGATCTTTTCTAGACATAGATAAATAAATAGATACCATTGAGATTATGGTAATCGTCAAAAAACGAAATGATGAAAAGAGGAGAAAAGCGATACAGTGACGCTTTACCAACAAGAAACTCTGGTAGTTGTGAAATCGAATAAATTCGAGACCTACGTTTGGCATTTCAATCACGATTCTGTCCTTGATACGCCGCCACTTGACTTTCCCATCAGAGTCCTCTATTGGGACCTTAAACGCATGGATTTCATTGGGACCACAACAATTATTGTTTTCCGACTTGACCAACAAACGAACCTCTCGAATGAGTTCCTCAGTTTGAGAACATACAAGTTTATCGCCACAATTCGTATTTAATATGGAAATCTAGACGTCAACTGGTAAACGCTAACGGAGGCAAATTATCAATAAGGACGATTTGAGAATCCCACCTGATGGCCTTCGTGAGCTACAGCTACTAATGATTTACTGCCGATAGGACAAAAAGCCACAGAAGTTACAGCGCCCCCCATCTTGTATGTCTGAAATGAAAGGTTGGAAGTGAT